TAAATAAATTTATATTTATCTTCTGCAACTAAACTATAAGAGCATTAGCTACAAAATAAATTAAATTTAGAACCCAGAGAACTGAAATCAGGAAAGTGTGCTACATGCTACTATTTCTCATAATGAAATCAGTCTAAACATCATGTAAAGACACAAACGGGCACATCATAGACCCCCGCCTGGACATATCCAAGATGATCTGTAGTGGTCAGCAATAAGACAATGCCTAAAGGGAAGAGTGAGCAAGAACATTAGCGTAAGTTTATGTCTTACCTTTGTTCATTAGGTCAACAATTTATAACAGTTATGAGATATTTCCCCTTTAAAAGAATACTTAGCTTTAATTGAACCCAACTTCACGATTTCCTTATAGTTTTCCATTTGTCTTATGCCTTATATACTGCTTCAAAGTTTTACCACAACTCAAGAAAAATATACTTTACCTTGCAACACAGTAAATATACAATCATATATTTAAAAATTAAACAAGTTTCCCAGATCAATACATACTTTCACCACTTGTAATGTGCTGGTATTTCTATTTCTTTTTTTAATGTTTTATTTTATTTTACTTTTGCTTATTAATCTGTGAGAGAGGAAAAATAAACATCTATCGGTTGCTCCTGTATGGGCCTCTGACTAGGGGTGAATCCAAAACCTGGGTATGTGCCCTCACCAGGATCTAAGTCCACCACCTCTGGGTGTAGGAGACAACACTCCAACCAACTGAGCCACACCGGCCAGGGCTTACTGCTTTTTTAAATCACCAACTTTAAATCACCTGCCATTTAGAAAAGACAGCACTACAACTTTACACAGAATGCACTAAACTCCTTGACTAAACTTCCACCACAGTTCCATTTTAACAAAATGGGTGAAATCCAGCAAGCCTATTCCAAGAACAAAACCTGGCACAAATGGGAGACAACCCAGATCTTTCTGACGTCCCGCACACTCTGACTGTTCCTATTGGCAGAAAGGTTTCTCCAGGCAAAGCAGACACAGAAATCTTTTGTTGTCGTATCGGTTACATTAGTAAGATCTGCACTAGAGAATGCCCAGCAAGTTTACCATTGCTCCACAAACCGACTCTTCCAAGAAAATGAGAGGACCCTCCCACAGTAAGATGCTAAGATCACCCCCTTACACTTTTAGATTGCGTTCCATCATTCATTTGATCCTCCCGACACCGAGAAGCCGGTATTCTCCGTTTACTAACCAGGGAACTGACGCTCCAAGGCCTTACCTGGCTTGCCAGTAACAGCACAGCTAACAAGCACAAGCTACTCTTGAACCCAGGAGTTAGTGATTTACCCACACTCATGCCACAACTACTTTCATTTTGAATATTTGATACAAAAGTGATGATGAAAGCATGATACCAATATTGACATCATAAAATTAAGATTAAAAATAGTAATGAATGTTAACCATTTCAGAAGCCTCTTGATTTACTGGGAATCCTAGTTCAAGTCAATACAGATTTGGTTTCATACTTTGTCTTTGGTCAATGTTTCCCTGCTTATAAAATTACCTAGAAATTTACACAACGGGGTGGTCTGTAAGAAACTGGCCACATCACTTGCACAAACTTCCCCCAAACCATTCTTAAGCTTGTGGCTTCACCCTAAATGATGAAGTTCCCTATGTGAAATCCGACTTGATTTCATCACTAAGTGAATTACAACAGCATAAGCATGTTGTTTCTGCATAATACTTGCAACATGCACTCAATTTCCAGAGCACTTTTGAACAACATCTAAAATTCATAACGGTAAAGGCAGAATCCAAGGCAGAAAGCTCCTTTTTTAGTTAAAAAGGCTCATGTACCTTTCAGATGAATACCAACTTCATTACACATTATTAAAGATTTGGAGAATCAAGCTGAAGAAACTACTTGAGATCAAGGAGTAGAACCCTTTAATTGGACAGATGAAAAACTGGGGCCCAGTTGTGACATTTCTAACAGTGATCACGGAGTCAATGAATAATGGCACCGCCCCACCAGTGCTGTCTGAGCACAGACCTATGAACCAGGTCAATTCCTGGTCAGGGCACATGTCTGGGTTGCAGGCCACATCCTCAGCAGGGGATGTGCAGGAGGAGATCAATTAATGATTCTCTCTCATCACTAATGTTTCTACCTCTCTCCCCCTCTCTCTTCCTCGCTGAAATCAATAAAAATATTTTTTTAAAACATCCTTTAAAAAGTAATAATAATGACACAAACTCTCCAACAATCTGTTTTCCATTATTCTAAATGTCTCTGCATCTAATAAAATGTGATCCTTAGCCAAAACCGGTTTAGCTCAGTGGACAGTGTGTCAGCCTGCAGACTGAAAGGTCCCGGGTTCGATTCCGGTCAGGAGCACGAACCTTGGTTGGGGGCACATCCCCAGTGGGGGGTGTGCAAGAGGCAGCTGGTCGATGTTTCTCTCTCATCGTCGTTTCTCTCTATCCCTCTCAATTCCTCTCTGTGTAAAATCAATAAAATATATTAAAAAAATAAAAATGTGATCCTTAAAAAAGTCACTAACCTAAAAAACTTAAGACACATTTTTTTAAGACACATTAAAGATCCAAAAACTAGGGGACAAGATAGTGTCCAAAGACATTCTTTAGAAAAATAATCTCTTGAAGAACTCAAAGTTACCAACTACCTGAGCTAAAAACTGGCTCTTCACTCCAATGCAGGAAAGATATCAAGTAGCTTTTCGTAACTATTATCAATCACCTTAACAGCTTTTTCCCCATCTCAATACTACTCATTCATTCAACAAACACCTGAGGGCGGATTCCGTGGGAACTCCAGCTAGGTCCTGGAGAAGCCAAGAGCCAAGCAGACAGGGTTCCAGTAAGGCCTACTGGGGGCCTCCCCCTCCTCCTCTGCAATAGGCATACCTCCTTCATGGCTCAGCTGCCCCTTGACCACATGAGGTGTTAACCAGAACTACGAGAGATTTAAAAACTGCCTCTACCACTCCTCACCGCCTGGGCACACACACTTCAAGGACTTTTCACAATAAACCTTCCTGGTTCACAACCCTTGTCTCAAAAAACTGCTAACTCACCCTCTTCCCCTCGCTTCACTAGAAACCTGAGCCAGATGGTGGAGGAGCCACCAGGGTTTGGGATGATGGGCAGCACCTTCCGGGGACCACTCTGGGAGCCAGAGGCAGGCTCACTGCCTCTCCCTCTCCCTTTCCACTGGCTCCTTCCAAGCACCTCTGAATGCACCCCCAGTGGAGCAGTTCCTAACTTACCAAGTGTGTCCCTAAACCCTGCACAAGTAACTTTAGGAGATGGTCAATTCCGGTTTTTTAAGTTTCTCAGGCTTCCCCTTCTTCCCTGCCTCTCAAATTCTTAAAGATCTATAAAAAAAATAATAATAAAATAAACACAATCTCACCAAAACTGGGGAATTCATGAGAGTCAACTGGAATACTATAGGGGGACCTAAAGCAGAACACACCTGGCTGCCCTAGTCCTTCGGGGAGCTGTTAGAGACGGAGTCCCAGGCCCCTTCTTCAGAGACTGTGGTCCCGCGGGGGAGGCCCGGGAATCTGCATTTCAGGCCGTTTATCCTATTTCTGACGCCCGAGGTGTTTAACTACTAGGTAAGTCCTGACCTAGAGAGCCTGGCCTTACAAGCTGAGAAACGTGGGTCCTCCGATGGTTTGCCATTCACCAGTGGTGCTGACTCCCATGATCGGCTCTGGGTCATCTGAAAACGAGGGAGGCGACTAGAGCTGAAAGAGGCCTCCCCAGGCGGCCAATCTAAAATTCTAGAACCCTCCAGTTTCAGTTTAATATCACATCCTGGGCTGGGCTGGCTCAAAACAGGGTCACTGTGAGCTCTTCCAGCCCACCTAAGTCCCAGACCTTCTCCAACGTGCCCGACTTAGAGGTACCCGTCACCCCATCACCTCTCCATGTGCAAATCACAAGCATTTTACATAAAAAGAAAAAAAGAAAGAAAGAAAGAAAGAAAGCCATCTCGTGTAACCCAACCCAGGCCTCCATGGAATTACCGGCCACCTAATGAGAAACTACTGCGCCGAACCTCAACTAGGAAAGTATGCGCACTTTTCATTCTTTGTATTTTAAAAAAAATAAAAATAAAATATACTATCGGATAACAAAGTGAATTATCAAGAGACAAATAAAAATAAAAATAAAAGTCAGGAATTCAGGTCTCCCCGTCAATCCCTAACTTGGGGCTCCCGTGGGAACTCACAGGTGAGGCGAGGTCAGCAGCCCCCGGGCGGGTGTAGGAAGGTGGAATCGCCCCCATGATTTCACCCCCATCACTTGGGGGGTCAAGTTCTCCAGCCGCGGACGGAGCACAAGCAGCAACAATGCGATCGCGGGGCCCCCGCCCCGCAGGGCAATGCCGAGCGGGAGCCGGGCGTCCACCTCCTCGGCGCGGACCCGTCACCGGGCGCAGAGCGGCCGGACCGCGTCCCCGGCTTTCCGCCGCCTCCGAACCCCCTCCCCGCCCCCAGGGCCTCCGGCCCGGAGGACGCCGGCCACCCCGTCCGGCGGGGCCACTCCTCCTTCCCACAAGCCCCGGCCGCGCCGCCGCCGCGGGGGGCTCCCTCCCGGCTCCGGCCGCCGCGGGCGCCCCGAAGCCCGGTCCCGGCGGGCGGCGCACACTCACCCCCCGGGGCCCGCGGGCATCTGTCCGGACGCTCCGCACCCCCTAAGCCCCAAGGGCCGGTCCCGCCAAGTCCGGTAAGGCCGCCCGGTCCCCGGAGCCCGCCGCCCCGGCGCCGAGGGGCCGGGCCGGGGCTCCGCTCCCCGCGCCTCCCCCGGCGGCCGCCGCCGCCGCCCGGACACCCCCTCTCCGGCCACGCACGCCGCCCCAGCCCCCCGCGGCCGCCGCCTCCACAGGCTGACAGCCGCCGCTCCCGGCCCAGGCCGGCCCCTCCTCCAGCTCCTCCTCACCCCCCGAGGGAGACGGAAGGGGGGGCCCGGGGAGGCGGCGGGGGGCTCCTTACCGGGCGGCAGGACATGGTGAGGCCCGCCGCGGCTCGGCCTCCTCCGCCACCCCACGAGGCTCCCAGCCAGGGCCGGCGGGGGTGGGGGTGGGGGCAGCGCCTGGGCCGCTGGAGCGTCTCGCCGGGGTGCTCCTCCGCCGTCGCCGCCTCCTCCTCACAACCACAACAACATGGCGGCAGCGGCCACACAGAGCGCGCTCCCGACGCCGGGCCGGCGGCGCGGGCGCGCGCGCGCACACACACGCTCTCTCGGGCCTCCAGCTGGCGGTCGTCGGGAAAAGGGGGCGGGGCCGACGCAGGCTGGGAGGGGGCGGGGCCCCGGTCGTTTTGCCACGCCCCTTGGTGTGGGCGGGGCTTCTGGGCGTGGGCGTGGGCGTGGCCGCGGCGCTGGGAAGGCCGGCGGCGGCAGAGAAGCCCAGCTGGAGGGGAGGAGGGAAGGACAAACAGGTGGTCCCCACGGATTTCGGGGGGAGGGGGAGGCAGATCTTCCTACCTCGATAGCTCTCTGGACAAAGACGACGCCTCACACTCTACTTAACCAGGGAGGTAGCACAACCGTGCACAGGATGAAAGCTCATTTTAAAAGAAGCGTGTAAGTTCAGAGTGTGCTCAGGGTTCCGCTTACATCCCATTGCAAACTGCTTCCACTAAAGCTCAGCTGCATGAAGTGAGCGCGAACAAGCAAAATAAATAATAAATAAATAAATAAATTTTATATATATAAACATATATATATATATATGTATATATAGTAACCCATCCAAAACAGCCTGCGGAATTTTACATACTTCCTCCACAGAGTTGCATTTTAACATTACACCCTTTGACTTGATGGAAAATATCTGAGAGAACCAGTCAAATGAAATCAATCCTTGCATTTTGGTGTATTTTTTTTCCCCCACAGTACTCTCTGCAATGACTTAACCATTTTATCACGTTCATCCATTACAATGCAAAAGCTACTTGAACATAAGGATCTCGTTTGTTTCGTTATCCCCAGCATCTAGAACTGCGCAGGACAAGTGAGTGGGCAGCCAAATTTCTGGGCTTCACTGCTCGCTAATATTTATTTATACAGTTCGCCTAATTGGATCTTCACAGCTGGACTCTGTAGGTACTAGCACTATCTCCATTTTACGGATTAACACACCGCAGCCCAGAATAGCTCCAACTAAAACAAAACTCAAATCCAGACCCAGCGGACAACAGGAGTGGTGCCTTACTGTCCACTTTGTGGCATGTCAGCTGAAATAAAATCCCAGGTAGGAAATTACATTCATGCGAGTTGAAAGTTAGGAAAGGATTTGCTTTTCTTTCACAGAAAGGGATGTTCTTCCTTTCTGTGATGCAGGCCGATTGTGTATCATCCCATCTTGGCTTCCAGAAAGCCTGCCAGAAAGCAGCTATATTTGAAGCTCAATGGTGGCCTCCTGTTGGCCTTTTTTTTAATTTTTTTTATTTTTTTTTTGGGGGGGGAGAGTCCACATATTAAGGGTGGTTTTTCCCAACTTTGCACTTCTATTTATTATTTTCACTTTTATTTACACTTTTTCCCCCTCATTTCCCCTTTCTGCTATATGATTATAGCCTTCATGGAGCAAGAGGAAATAGTAAGTGGACAGGACAGATGAATGACAAATAAAATACATGGTTTCCCACCTGTTCCTCCAGGTTCCCATCAGTTTCCATCTCCTCTGGGCACAAGTTCTGCTCAGGCGAAGGCTGGAGGGTGGGTTTCTATAGTTGGGTGGCCTCTGATTGGATCAAAGACAGACTCCAGAGCAGCGCCCCCCAATGAGGAGGCTCAGGACAGAGCCAATAGGATGTCGGCATCCTCTCAGCCAATCCCACAGTTCCCCACCAGAAGAGGGCGGGTTGTTGGCATATCACTTTAACCTGTCTTTAGGCAGATGATCAGGAATTTTAAAAGGAATCTTCCACTAAGATATAGGACACAAGAGATAGTTGTCTGTGCCCCAAAAAATCGTTATTTGTGCTTCCTCATTCTCATAATCGCTAACATGGATTGAAACCTTCAGATGTGCTGACGTGATATGAGTGCTTTCCATGCACAGCTAATGTCACTTTAACAACCCAATTAGCAGGTACTGTTACTGTGGACTAACCTGACAAGCTCAAGGGAGGCCTGCGTTGGCAGTCTTGCAGACTCAGAGACCTAAAGGAACCACAAAAGATGGTCTGAAAATTAAATATTTAACCTCAAACAGGTGATGGTGGGCAGTCATGTCCTAGGCCGATATTTTCCCGGACAAAGATCAACTTAGGTCTTTCCTGGGCCCTTTTGCCTTTCGGCCTCTGAGATAACATATCTGTGAGATGTCTGGGTAACTTGGAGCTTCCCTTTTTCCTGGGGCACAACCAGATGTGGAGGACGCCTGGACAGATGCCTCAAATTCCTTCGTTATCATGCTAATTGTTCCTGCACCCACCTAAGTATGTGTCCATCATTTTACTTTTTATCCAATCCCAAGGGTTTCTTACTGCTTTGCTTCATCCCACCTCCTTAATCCGTCACCAAGGAATTTCACCTAACCCACCTATGTTCCTCCTTTGATTGCAATGTATAAATACAGATGTAACCCGCCATTCTCCCGAGCTTTATCTCAACTTGTTGAGGTTTTGCTTCCCAGCATGTGTCGACAGTTTGGCTCAAATAAACTCAAAAAATACGTTACAGGTTTCAATGTGTTTTGTTTTTTCACGTTAACATGACGCTCCCTCATTTTACATATGAGGATCAGGGTTTGAACTCAGATGATTTGATTCCCAGAGCATGCTTTTAAACTTCAGACTGAATCTCATTCCCACTGCTGCCCCCCTGCTCGCTGTTGGTAAGGCAAGTCTTTGTAGAATGTCTCTAAATAAGAAACTGCTGCCCTGGCTGGTGTGGCTCAGTGGATAGAGCGTCAGCCTGCAGACTGAAGGGTCCCACGTTCAGTTCCAATCAAGGGCATGTACCTTGGTTGCGGGCACATCCCAGTGGGGGGTGTGCAGGAGGCAGCTGATCGATATTTCTGGCTCTCTATCCCTCTCCCTTCCTCTGTATAAAAAAAAAAAAATCAATAAAATATATTTTTAAAAAAGAAAGAAAAAGAAAAAAACTGCTGCCTGGCCTTGAAAATGCAGTTGGAGGAAAGAGCCTAACAAGAAGCAATGGAGAGGAAGCCTGCTCTGCATCTAAAGTCACATTTGAATCGTAGTGCCTCCACTTGTTCTTTATTTCCCTTTCCTGTGCCTCGGTTTCCCCGTTGGCCCCGTGGGGTTCCAATCACCACATCCCTCACCTCACAGGAGTTTGAAAACTTTTTGTACCTACAAAAAGTCAGACCAATGGATGGCATTTGGGGGGACTTTGGCTGAAAACAAAGCCCTAAACTTTGTGCGATGAGTCAAGGAACAACAACAACAACAAAAAAGGCAGAAAACTAATCCAGGCTCCGAGGGCTTCTCGCTGCCCTATTTCTCCTGTGAGGGGCCCCCTCGACCCCACTGACCTCCCTCCCCTCCTGCTACCCTACAGCCTCCTTCCCCTGCTAGCTTCAAAGCCGAAACCGCTCCTCCAGCTGCTCGCGGACTCCTTTGAAGTAGCCGGACAGATGGCAAGGTTGATGGATGGCGGTTTCCCAAGGTCACGCCGGCCCCTGCAAGATGGAGTCCCTCAAGCCTCCAAAATGCAACCTTCCCAACACGTGGTCCTGCTGCCTAATGACCAAAGTCACTGTCCCTTCAGGGGGTGTTTTGTGCGAATTGTCCCCGGCCTCCCACACCCCCTCATCAGCTCCTCAACCTCTCAGCTTTGGAGAAGCTGGTAAGATGGAAACGAGAATTGGACCCGCACTGATGTGATTCAAATCTCCAGATGTATTTTTTTTTTAAGGATCCACACTGCAGCCCTCCTGCTGGCGTGGGTCAGCTCGACTCAAGTTCAGCAAACAACGAGGGGTCTTCCAAGTGGGGTCCCCTGGTCCCCAGGGAGCCCTGAGACTCTTTCAGAGACCCAGGTGGTTCCAAACTATTTTAATAATAATACGAAGAAATTAAGGACCTAACCGGTTTGGCTCAGTGGATGGAGCATTGGCCTTAGGACTCAAGGGTCCCAGGTTCGATTTTGGTCAAGGGCATGTACCTTGGTTGCGGGCACATACCCAGAAGGGAGTGTGCAGGTGGCAGCTGACCAATATTTCTCTCTCATCGATGTTTCTAACTCTATCCCTCTCCCTTCCCCTCTGTTAAAAAAAAAAAAAAAAATCGATGAAATATATTTTTTAATAAAAAAGAAATTATTTACCTTTTCTTTTTTTTTTTTTTTTTAACCATGTTGACATTTGCACTGACGGTGCCAAGGCAGCAGAGGTAAAATCGGTGGCACAAATCCAGGCGTCGGTACCCATCCGTACTAGCAGCCATTATCTTCTTCACCGGCATGCACTGGTAGTCAACAAAATGCCGGTGTCACTTAAGGATGCCCTCGACAAAGCAGTAAAAAAAAATTAATTAATTTTATTAAATCTAGGCCTCTGAATACAAGTCTTTAATAGTCTCTATGATTAAATGGAAATTTCGCATAAAGCACTTTGTTTCACTGTTTTATTGAGGTGAAATTCAGCAAGCATAAAATGAACCATTTTAAAGGGAGCGATTCAGTGACATTTAGAACATTCACAATATTGTGCAACCACCACCTCTCCCCAGTTCCAAAACCCTTTCACCACTCTGAAATAAAACCCTGTACCCACTCGTCAGTTCCTCCCCACACAGAAAGCATTTTCACTACGTGGGGAAGTGCAGTGGTTGTCTCAGGGAAAGCATGTGCCATGCAAATGTTTGAGTTGCAAGCTGAACTAGCCTCTTTTACAAGGGGGGGAAACAGTACCAAAAAATAAAGAAAAAAACAACCACCTTATTTTTACTTTGTTTGAAAGAATGGTCAACATGCAGACTGGAGCTATTCAGACGTGGATATTTGGCAGACAGTTTCTTCAAAATGTACAAAATGAACTTGTCACATGAAGTAAAACAGCTGATGGTATTTGTTGCCAATGGTACAATTCTAGCTCAATTAAAATGTTGGAAAACTTGAATGTTCCACCATGACCTTGACAATTTTCTAATCCCTAATATTTTTACCGCTTAGATTGCGGTGATATTAGCAAGAGTCCATTTTTGATATTGTATCTGATATGTGCCAATTTTTGAAAAAGCT